TAGAACGCATTTAATGGCCACCTGAAATAGGCTGTCCAAAGAGCTTGAAGTCTGCGCTCCTACATACTTAACTACGAAAAAGATATCGACTCTAGTGCGTCATGGGTAGAAGTAGCTACCTCTTTTGGGCATTTTTGGATGGACGCTTTCTGCGGAAATTTTTTTTCAAAACTGCCCGACTTGTCTCCTTTTAGCTTCACAGCCCCTTTTAACCTTGTGTACTTCGAGTCGACTTCAAATCCCCTTGTATTTTTTCTGCAGAAGCTAGACTCGTTCGGCTTGACGTTCTGGATGCCCAACTACTCCACGGTCGGCCCCCCAGCTTGCTTCCTCAGGTTGGCTGTGTAAGAAACTGTAGAACTAGTACTACATTCAACGGGAGACTGTGGCGTCTAAGCGCTGAAAGTATACAAAGCACTACAATCATCAGGAAATATCCGGATTTGCACGGAGAAGACAGAAGTCAGCAGATTTAGGGGGCTTATTGTATACAGAAGCCTGAGTTGTCCTCTCAGGCGGCATCGGCCGCCAGCGAGGCCAGGGTTAGTGTTGCCTGCGTCCGGTCATACCTAAGAATTAGAGAGACAGTAGTGGCCGTCGATCTTGTAGGTTTGTGAAGCAAGCTCATGTGGTATCCAGTTGGTGTGTCGCACTTGCCTAGGGGTGGTGTTGCTTATGTTGTGTTCGCAGGGGGGGGGAAGGCGGTGGGTTCAAGTGGTGCATGGGCAGCTACGACTCCGTGGACGCAAGCATGGCCGCGTAGCTGCAGGTCAGCACGTCTGAAACCGTTCGCTGCGAAGTTAGGTGACTTCATGCAGCGAGGCCTTGAACAAGGACACCAGACACCGCAATATAATGGCTATTGGCAATAAGAATATTCCTAGCTTACTAGTTGTCTTCGATCAGCCTCACTCAACCCCAGGTTTAGGGCCACCAGAAGCTCGAACCCGCGTACTTTTAGTTATTGATCCAACTTTCTAACCATCGACCCATAGGCTCGCCCTGCCGACTGCGATAGGATATGTTAACTTTCGTAGAGAGTGCTCACTGATCGCATTACAGGACGTACTCGTTCCGTTGTGCGACTGCCTACGGAGTTCTAGGTCGAGTCCCGAAGCACAACGGAACGAGCTTATTCTATGACGCGGTCCGTGAGCGTCCTCTACTATGGAATTTTTATATCGAAGCATCCGACATGTGTCGGTTTTGCTAAACAGTTAGCCAAATGAACCTTAGTTATTCAATACCAGCAGTTCGTGTAAATAATCAGGCAAGTTTAATCTTTCAGTTCGTGACCCTCTAAGCCGTCAGGTTTGCCAACCTGTTTATTTTCCTGCCCCAAAATGAATGCGCATGCTAACTGTCTGCGTGTGACTTATTGCTACCAAAGGTAAGGAAAATTGGAATGACCATTTTTTGACTTACTTGCCATTGTAAGCCAGCCACAACCGATAGCCGGAAAGACCTTAGGTTTGAACCTAAGTTTAGTTCTTAATTGAATAACCGCTATACCTGTTACTCCAGTTAATAAGCGAGGTCGCTTACTTATTGTCTGTATCCTTCAAAACAAGCCTTCTCCTAACCTG